ATGAAAATACCCCAATTGAGATTTGCGCTAAATAAATTCAATAAATTATTATTATCATTTATTGAATTATTTTTATATAGCTACGAAATTTTCCGATATAACRAACACTCTCATTGGTTTAAAGATGACCACGTGACACTAGTTAAKTCTAAATGTATCCCGACCGGGAAATAAGTAACTTATTTCCCGATCGGGAAAAAAAGTTGCACGTGACAATAATCGTGAAAATAAACAAGTGCAAGGATTCGGAAAAAAAACAAAAAAAGCGACTAAAAATGCTGTTGCTACTCTCCTCGCTTTTTGGTAGAGAAATACAAGACCGTATGTGAGTTGTATTTGTAAAATCATGGTTAGTTTTCATGCATTTAGCTCGCTAAATAAAGTTCTTATTTCGTAAACTGAATTCTCAATATTTCTTAATTGCAATATAACAAAACACTTAATATCTGTTCCCTCGTGAAATTAGTTAGTTTTGTTTACCCTCGAGTCTCAAAACAAAACAATTTCCATCGCGACCAGACATTAAGTGTATATTGTTTTACTGAACAAGAATCCATGACTGGAAATAGAGGTTGGACTTGATGTCTTTAAACATTTCCTATGTTTCAAGAAGTACAACCCCGACTTGAAGCATTTGTTTAGGCATGGTCATTAAGGTAAATTTGAGAAATGTTCATTGAAGCATTTGCTAAAATGACAACAGCCAGTTCCTCTTGCAGCCTGTTTTTGCTTAAACCTGAAATCACATGTAACTTAGTTACAAAGCTATCTAACTGTTGATTAATTAATAGGTTTCTTGTTTGATATATTTTGTAGCAAGGAAAGTCATTATATCAGAACAGCATCTTCTTTGTGACTTTTGCACTCAGAGTCAGCAACTCCCCATCCAGCATGAGGACAGTCACCAAGTGCGCTCTCTGAGCCTGTACATGCAATTTCATCTAGCCAGACTGGTCCTTGCTCCCCATAACCATTGTACCAACGAAATACAGCTTTGGTAAAACCAAGTTGTCGACATGCGACCGTGGCGTCATTCCAGTCCCAATAATCTTCACACACTGTACCCCACTTTCCACCGTGATACACCTGAACAATACCAGAAACACTAGGTAGGAATCGTATATTTAGCCAACATTTTCTATGCCCATAGTATAAGCTTTCTTTTGCCCAAAGTTTAATCACATATACGGAATTTAATTGAATGTAATTAAAATTTTGCCAATTAGTCAGACCGACTCCTCCCCTCTTCCATTATACCAGGTAACAGCTCTGCTTGGGAACGTTACACGATTTGGGGAAGTTACAAGCGTTACAAGTTCTCGAAAGCTCCTCGTAGAGTTAAAGATCAAACCATGTTTATAATATGAATTAGAATTTTTCGCTGTTGGAGGTGGGCTTATGTCAGTTCTGAGCATGCACGCTTGCGAACACAGCTTTACTTATGGATGTATCAATATCAAAAGAATTAAGAAAAGATTCAGGTTTTAGTAAAATAATAAGATAAACGTCTAAACTAGACTTTCCGTAAGTCAAATGTTCATTTTAAGTAAGCGAAGTAAGTTCATACAATCGTATCGTAAATAAGTTTAGATAATTTGTATGCTAATACTTTTTATGCTAATATTTTATACATTGTTGATCATGAAGACGAGGCCTGAAAGATTCGTGGCAAAAAGCGCTCTTCAAGAACATAAAAATAAAACCCGTGTATTCATTATGAAACTACCAGCAAAGCGATTCACGTCGTGTTTTGTATGTCTTCTTGGCTCTTCAAGTGATTGTTCAGTTGCTCAAACAGTGCATTACCAGTTAGATTGAGCATTCGAATCGAGCGAACCTCTTCGAATCCTTCGAATATCAACAATCATAAGAAAAGGCACGAATTCTCCAATTTGGGCGATTTTCTGCTTACTTTTTTGGCGTAATAGTCTTAGTTGGGTTAGCCATATATAAAGTACGAGAAAAAACATTGTTATGATATGATAGAGTACCAATAATTACGTTTAAATGCAAAGATACTACTCTGAGTGTATTTGTTTTGATTTTTAATACTAAACACTAGTCCAAATTTGTATATTTAATGTAGCCTGGGATGACTTCACAGACAGTAAAATATCCATAGTTCCAAAGATATACAGCTTTGGTAAAACCAAGTTGTCGACATGCAACCTTGGCTTCCCCCCACTTCCAGTAATCATTACACGCTGTTCCCCACAACGTCATTCTAATGGAGCGTAACGTAATAAAGTATGCATAGGTGTCATATCTAACAATTTTGATATGCAGACCCTGGATAGCAGAATCATAATTGTGAGTTTTTCAACCAGAGTCAGCAGCTCCCCATCCAGGGGAGGACAGTCCCCAAGTAAAGCCTCTAAGCCTGTCAATACAAAATCGTCCAACCAGACAGGTCCTTGCTCCCCATCTCCATAGTGCAAACCAAGGTGGCAGCTGAACATTTACACAAACCAAGCTACCAAATGAAAATGCCTATAATCTCCAATGTATGATAACCGAGGCTACTAGAATTTATGGTGGGCTGGCGCTCCGTCATAAATAAAGACTACGTGCTTGTCAGGGTGGAGGTAAGTCTTGTTTGTGCTAACAAATTATATAATCTTTGGGCATTCATTCCTCCTTTAACTGCCGAATGGAAAGCAACTAGCAACTGTCACATTTCCTCTCTGACCACATACTTGTCGATATGCCCTCTCTCCTCTTCTTGCTCTTCCTTGACTTCTTGCAGTCCGGCATTCGTGTATGATGACGCTATGGTTTGCCTCAGCATGGCCCATAAACCAATCTTTTTTGTATGACATGAGGGCGGTTTCTCTCAGCGGGAAGGCGCCTGGCCAGTTTCGCACGAAACAGCATTCCTTCTAGAGTTTTTGCCACAACGTTGTCGTGGATTCTAGGATGATGGGGAAGGTGTTGTCTAATTGTTTGGTTAATCTGTGCTAGTGTTCAGTTCAGTAATCAGTTTTCGTTTAGAATTTCATTGAAATAGTCCTCCATCTCATTGTCGACTTTAATGTGATTAGAGCCTACTCATGGTCTTTCTGCTGTTCTTCCCTCTCGTAGATAGCTTGAAACGATACTTCTTGAGCCCACGACCTCCCCTACAACAGTCCGATGCTCAACCAACTGCACAAGTCTAGTAGCCATAAGATTAAAATGGAACGGAACTGAGTTTAAATTCCAACCAATATTTACCAAGGAAATCACATGTACACTAGAAACTATATTTGAACATCTATCCTGTATTCCACAGCAGAAAGACAGCTTACAAGAAAAAACACATCTTTGAGGTACACCAAACTGAATTAATGTCAAATAAGACATTGTTAGGTTTTACATATTAGGTACGCTTGTCCAGGTAGTTGGTAAACCACTCTAAAGCATGCCCACGGATATTGTTAGAGTGTAACTTTGTTAATAATGTGTGGTCTTTGCGCCTGGGTTGAGCGGGATTCCCGAAGTACTTGCAGCTGTCCGCTGGACTCTCGGCAGCATCAAAAACATAACCTCTATTGTTTATGGATTAAGTCATTTTTCATTTCTCGCCTAAGCTATTTATCATTTAGCTCTTTTGTCTCCAAATTGAATGAATAAACACTGTCTTGTGTGTTTTTTTTTCATCGGACAAACCTCCTAGTTCATTCAAACTTTGACTTTTAGGAGCCACCAAATGAGTAATTGTCATGACTCATATGTTATATATGCTATCGAATCTACTAATAGGTTTTCATATCGCTCATTCAAGAAAGGTGAAGATCGGCAGCTCCATAAAGGCTAAATGCGTATTTAGCGTCTCCTTGACTTTTAATTTATAAAAGAAAAGCTTTGAATCGCGAGACAGGAATAAAAATTTACCGGTAACAAGAAGTACGCGAAACTTTCTGTTTATAAGCAATTTACTCAAACAGTTTTTCATTTTCATTAAACGGTTTTTGATAGCAAAAATTTTTTAATATAAACGAGAAGAGAAAACAGAGTTTTCTGTCTTTGGCCGCCAGATTTAACCGATTAGTTTACCCGGCTTTAGGTTTTAAATCCTTCCTTTAAACTAGCATATGAGTTACTGTATTGAGTTTATTTGCCGGTTAGCTTGCAAAAGAGCCGTAAGTTTCAATTTGTAAACTAAATTCCTATGCTGGTCAAAAACGTTTGGTAAAAAGACTAGATATTAGTTTGTTTACATGCGTGGAG